GCCCGAACCCACGTCCCCTGCATCGGCAGGCGGACTCTCAACCACTGCGCCACCAGGGAAGCCCCCACTGGCCGTTTTTAACTTGTGGTTTCTCAGAGCTACACGCCGCCTACGTGACCTGTGCAAGGTCTAGAGAGAGGTTTCTCATATTTACCAAAACCAAAATCAGTTCAAGTTTCCCTCTAGGACTGTCCATATCGTGTTTACTTCAGGTAAATATCACTCAAGAAGCAAATAAGGAACAGACTGGTTTGGCTCAAAAATAGACCATTTAAGTTGAATATGTCCGCAAGTCCCAAAGCAGAAAACCAGCAACTAAAAGCGGGCTTGAAGCTTGAAGGTAGTGTTGGGGTCTTCCAAAGCCATCACAGACTGGGTCCTGGTCCCAGCTTCAGCCATCACGCCACTGACAGTAGCCGGTGCAGTGACTGCTGGGAGGGGAAGCACAGCGATGGGGCAGCTGCAGTTTGCTTTCCTGCCACCAGATGTCAGGGTGATGGAAAAAAAACCCCACTTACCCAAGCTAATCTGAATGGGATTTTGTGTCTTGCAATGAATGATTTACTATCCACTGGCAAAGGCTCTCACGTAATTTTTCTACCAAAGGAACTTGGCCTACCCCACCCCTCCTCAGCCTTCAGATCTTAGCTCAAACATCACTGCTTCCAAGAAGCCTTTCCTGACACCTCCTGCGCACCCAGCCCTCACCAGACACACACGACAGGTCTCCCTGAGGTCCGCTTCCCGGTCCCCTGCACTTGAACTTCGCAGACTTATCGCCAGTTTATAGTGAAGCATATGGAAAGTGATCTGACCACATGCTCCTTCTACCCAGGCAGTTCGTTCCACGAGGGTCGAGATTTCGGCTCCTTCCTTCCCCCCTCTATCCACACTGTATACCGCAGGAGCTCAATAGATATGTCAAGGAGGAAGAGAGGGAAGGAGTCAGCTAGATGAAATGTGCACTCTGAATCCAAAAAGCGTCAGCTAACTAAACGAGGGCTGCCCTTTCTCTCCCACACACGCTACTGCAGCAGATACTAGATCCTCCCCCTTCTTGTGGAAACAATCTAAACTTAAGGGACTGTCTCTTTCAAAGTTAGAGAGAAAGAACTGCGGTTCTTCCCACCCGAGCCCTGTGCTGAGGGGCTGAGGTAACAAGATGGACAAGAGGTGGCCCGGGTCCCCTGCTCAGGGTGGCCGGGAAGACACTGGAGGAACGGACAAAGCACATGGAAGACAGAGTATGATCGGTACAAAGTCAGATGCAGGAAAGAGTATGCT